TGTGTGTAAGTTAGAGAGAAAGTGTGTGTGTAAAAGAGAGAGAGAGAGAGAGAGAGAGAGAGAGAGAGAGTGAGGCGAAATAATAAGCAGCTCTTCATTTTAACGACGTCCGTTCGCCAAGACTGCGCGCAGGACTGTTTCGTGCGAGCGTCACGTAACGTGACGGACTGCTGCGTTCACCTCGCTCGGCACAGTCTGGTGATGGCACTCTCAGCTCATCACCCCCAATAATTCAGATATCTTCGGTGAATAATTGACGTGATAATGCGCGAGATGAAGTGGTGGCGGGAGGATAGAGAAAGAAGAAGGGGTTACAGCGTCCCCTACTCTCTCTCTCTTTCCCGCTCTCTTTTACTTAGCTTAAAGCGTCTCCCCCGCAAATTGCATGATTACCAAGATAGCCCGCTTTGAAATAATTCAATCCATGACAAAACCTAATTACTGGCAGGTAATACCCTGTCAGCTTTAATGCATCTCATCACTCATAATGGAAGCGAGGAGCATTTTATGACCCATCTCATTACTGCTGTATTTTAGGCAGAGAGTGATTGGCATGGGGCCACAATCTTACCACTACCCAACTCTGTTACCATCAGTTCTCCGTCTCCACATTCTCGGTTTAGTCACTTCCAAACAGGGCTGACGATAAATGACTACTTTTGGGCCATGACAGAAAATAAACTCTACAGTGAGTGTGTGATTATGTTTCCTTTTCTCTCTCACTGTGTGTGTGTGTGTATGTGTGTGGGGAGGGAGAGTAGGTGGCACTGAAGGCCTGTGATTCATCCTACCTCGGCAACATGGGTATCAAGCAGTGCTAATTAGAGTGAACAGGTGTAACCAATGGGCGAGGAATAGCTTTAGAAACACAGACTGGAAAAAAAAATGTGAAAACAGTGAAATTTATTACTTAGCACACACACATGCACAGTTTTGTCTTTCTATTCATGGACTTTAATTTTGCAGGTGCACAGCGATCACATACATGAAGCGTGAAAGTTTATGATTAATAATGGAAAATGATCATTGTGTGTCCTAGGGTAATATGACTTAATTTAGGCCTAAACGACTGAAGACAAATGCTTTCAGACAAGAGATCACACACTAGTGCTAGATACTGATATTGGTTTATTTTATTTTATTTTTTACTTAAAAAGGGTATTTTTAAATGTATGATTACAGATGACACAGTCGCCAAGACATGCTTTTAACAGCTCTTCTCTTTATTGTCATGTTTCCACTTTTTGTGATTCCCAACTAGAAGTACACGGATACCGAGGGCACTTAAGGTTTCAGGGGTTACCTGGAAAGATTTAGGTATAACACAAAATAGTGCGTTATGTGAGTGTAAAGTACACTACTTGGTGAGTTTATCTTACATCTACACTTGTTTTTTTAAGAGACTAACAATATAGTTAATGCTAAATGATACCCAGTGTAATAGGAGTTAAAAAAAAACACATTTATGGTTTGGCTTGAGCCAAATTTATAGCAAACAGTTTTAGATGATATCAATGATTCTAAATCAATTAAAGCTGCTCTGAACCAACATAGTCTATGAAGTACTACTAAATGAATCACTTAAATACTGAATGAATTAGGTGTGTTGATTTAATATGAGACCAAAATATTCCTGTATTTAAAAACGAATCTGCACTTGATGTGCTCACAGGTGCTGTATACTTAATCAAGTGCATATACAGTACTGTAATGCAGTCTGCATTTTCTTACACTCTAAAAATGAAATGTTCCTTAGTGAGTTATTGCGCACCTTATGATCAGCAAAGAACCTTTTTGTCATTTTCAAGTACCATTTTTGTTATATGGGATTCTTAAGTTATTTATATGCTTTTTTGAGAGAATAAAACTTTGAGTTTTTTTTATTTTTATTAAATGATATGTTCTCCATATCAGCATACTGGCTTCTGGCTCTGTTAAAGCGTCATTATAAAGATGTCTTTAAGATAAAAAAAAGTTATTTGTGAAACTTAAGGTTCTTATATAAGGCATCAGGGTGTGAAAGCCTTTTTTGTTCTAATTTGAATCTGTATTTTTCAGAGTGTATTTGCCTGAATTCAGAAGTACTAGTTTAATTACGATTCAAACAGATGCAAGTGCACAAACACCTGTCGCCAAAATGACAGACATATGCATGCATATACATAACTGTGTGCGTTTTATGAATCAGACCGGTTCTGCTATAAAACACTAAGTAACACCACGAAATTGTTGCCTAGCTGCTAAAACAAAGAGAGCGAGAGAGAGCGAGAGAGAGCGAGTCTAAACCTGTTGTACAGAGCTCATAGCATGTTTGCGCGCGCGTCTCAGAGAGGTGAGCATTAAGTTTGTGTTAGCGAGCGCGCGCTCCGTTACTCCTTCTGTCGGTAATAACCGAATGACCTTTTCCTCCTCGTGTAATGTCTCACTGGTGAGGGATTGGGTTTGAAGATAATAAAGCTAGGCTTCACTATTCCTCGTTCCTCACTCACTGATGGGCAAGTTGTTGTGAGCTTTCTCAGAGTACTCAATACATGACGAGAACACCTGTAGCTTTTGGTGCGAACTACTACTCGTAGATGATCCATGTGGACCTCATTATTTTCAGCCTGAAGATCACTCTTATCCGCGGTGCAATGTCAGATTCGTGAACTTTTGCTCCGAGGAATATTGAGTTGGAGTCGGTGCTCTATCCTAAGTTAACCTTCTGCATAACTTGGTCAAGAAGGTGAGTTGTGCTTTGTCTTTTCCGAAACTAATTGCTTAACCAACCGAGGATGCTTTTAGTAGTCTTTGATGGTTAATACAAAATTCAGTCTTGCATGCCTTACGTAGACGCATAATTTGTGCATGTGATTCAAATTATTTCAGATAAACTGATCATGCAAAGTCAGGTTGTCATTTCTGCACAGCAATGGACAAAAACGAAACACTGTTTCTTTAGGAAACGACATAGCAACGCATTATAAACACCCAAGCTTTGTGCACGGCAGTAAATAACGACTGATATAAATTACAAACAATAGCTAGACAGCTATTAACACAATAAGAGTGCACTTAAACAACATTGCAAATAGTGGATGTGTATTTATGATAATATACACACTTTATTTGCATTAAAGTTTGTGCATTCAAAAACAAGCAATTAAGAGCCGTTTTTAAAGCTTGAAAGAGAGTGTAGAATGTGTTTGTAATATAGCATTCGTGTTTATATTCTGAAAATATGGCATGCATCACTTCGTAAATGTTTGACAAAATGGGATTTCGTTTTAGTATGTGCGAGTTCCTGTATGTTGTCTTTTGTATACATCCAACTTGGTGCCTTTTACTGTACGCGCACTGAAATAGGCGAATAGCGAGAGGCACGATAGGATTATAAGATTACGGCGAGCGCGAAGGGGTAAAGCATATGCCTTTGTCATCCGCTGTCATTTGTTCGCCGCCACTTGCCTCGCCACGGCTGCTGGTCGATCTAATTTCATAGTCGAGCACTGTTGTGACAAACGGAGTCTTAACAGCGTGTGGCGCTGAGCGATAGCGGCTCGATCTATCTTTCTTGCTTCCTCCCTCCCGTGTTTTGTTGATTGGTGTTTTTGTCGTTTTCACTATTTTCTGGCGGAGCGAGGTGGATTGTTACTTGTAACAAAAGCGAAGCACCCTCGCGCGCATACAGCAGCTGCTCACTTTACGCGCATCTTTGGCTCGAGCCTCGTCTTGTTGCATGGTGTTTCTGGGAGCCGAAGCGGGTCAACCAATGCAGAAAAGGGAGAAAAGTTTCGGTAAGAGCTGCGTTTTGCATCCTATCAACGCGAGTGTGATATGTTTAAATGTGTGGATGGGTGCTTGGGATGTTTCTATGCATTCAGCGGCAGTTTTGCCTAACCTCATACAGCTGCATTTTGCCGAAGCGACGCATTTTCCTCATTTCCCCGTGCGAATTTTCGTGGTTTGCTTAGACAATTGTGAATAGCGTTTAATATGATGTGCCGTTGCGTATCACCGTTTCTAACGCGTTAACGGTTTCATTTTGTCGTTTTGCAAGCTGCAAATCTTATTGGCCTTTTCAGTGCGCTAGGCTGCCATGGCAACAGTAATTAAACTTGATAAGAGGGTGAAATGTCAGCATCTCCGGCTCGCGCAGCTGTGATGTGAAATCAAATTGGTACTTTGCGCCCGGTGTTTGCCAAGTCTCGCCTGAAATTTCTCCATCAGTATCTGCGAACAGTGAAGCGCACAAAGAGCATCGTATCACTATGCGAACGGGACATAATGAAAGATCTGAGTGAGCGAGGAAAGACAAAAAAGACACCAATGTCCCAGGCCTGTAGGGATGAGAATTTAACGATTTTGGTTGCGAATTCGATTGCGCGTAATGATTTCGTTTCTGTAACGGTTCCATTAATTATTCTTTTAGTCCTCTTGAGGGGGAAATATTTCGGGAGAAACTGCGATTCGTGTTGCATTTACTGCTCTCAGCAATCTGTTTGCAAACCATGAGATAATTTCAGATTTCATCAGCACCAATATAACAAGACATACATTTAATTCAGTTCTTCCAAAAGATGTGTTTAGATTGACGTATTGACTTGTCGTAGACTTTTCAGAAGCGGTTTAGATGCAGTCTGATAATTGGTCCCATTTATATAAGTGAAAATGTTAAACAAAAATGTGGTGACCTAATTCATTAAGCATTCATTTATTTAATAAAATATGCCTACTGACTCATAATGTGTATCTTAAAGGGCTCAACTCGTGCCATTCAGTCAGTTAAGTACAACATAACACAGTGACAGTTCTTGGTTCATTTAGAGTCGAATATGACAAAAGTAATTTTGTGGTTCAATCAAGTGTCAGATTATTTCAGTAACAGCTCCAACTGGTACAAAAGTATGTTTGAATCGCTAAAAAGAACCGGCTCGAAAGAGTAATTAGTTCAGGACTCGTGTTACACTGTTCAGGCTGCATGTATTTGATTCACTAAAAAGAGCCGATTCATAAGAGTCATTGGCTCGGCATTCGGGCTATAGCACTGTATGTTTTTGATTCACTAAAAGAACCGGCTCATTTTTATCCAATCGAACTACACTGGTCTTGCTGTATAATTCTGAAAGACTAAACAGAGCCAGTTAAGGGTTAAGGGTCATGCGTTCAGGAATCGGACTAAAGTGGCCGTGCTTCAAAGAACAGTTGTTGTTGAGTGTACTACATCAGTAGAAAATCGTTATCAGAATCACTCGGTTTCTGTATTTGTTAAAATGGCTACCCAGGCCCCATTTCAGTGTGTTAGATTAATCTTTTGTTCACCGTTTGATATAGGAAAATCGATGAGGGCATGAACATCCCACACTCCCAATATGAAAAAAAAAACTGATTTGGGAATCCAAGCCTGTGAATAGAAGGGCTAGTTAGTTTGTGCCACAATCGATTCATTTAGGACTAACCATGATTGCGGACCAAGGGTGAGGGGAGTCAAAACTCTAACTTCTTTGGCTTGGTAATGAGAGGCGGTGACTTTGTTGTGTTAACCAGGCGAGCTGGGACGGTGCGGATGAGTGGGACAGAACAAGAACGCATAGCAGAGGAAATCAGCCGTGCTGCTCTTACAATCCAATCCAGCCAATTAAAAGCTCAACAGATTAAACACAATGGGACAAACAGTGCGGCGGTGCTACCTGTCTGATGTGCTTCCTTGCTGTTTTCCCCTCATCAAGTCCGCTCCTTTGAATAAACTCAAAATAAAGCATCATAAAAACGCCAACGAGGTCGAAGGAATCATCATTATCCCTCGCCTCGTTTTCATTGAATGTTCCTACATCTTAACGAGCATGGTCCTACAGCAGAAAGAAGTTGTTCACAGTCTAAGCCTATGGTACTGCATCAGATATTTGCTCTAGGCTATAATTATGACCCTAGAGGGATCGGCTACCTGCTGTTCCTTTCCCTGCATTGTAATGCTCAGTTGAATTGAAACAATTTCACACCTGTCCTCAGTCTTACTAATTGGTGCACTGTCTTGTTTATTTTCTGTGAGGGCCAACTGCCACGCTTTTGGCAAATCATTTTTGAAAGTAATTATCGTCAAGGCCACATGTTAAAAAAAAGAAAGTGGCAAACTCTCTCTATCTGTTAGGTAGGGCAGAGTCTTAATGGTCTCCAAATGTGTTGACGTGCACGACTATTTAAAGGGATAGTACACCCCAAAATAAATTCCAACATCATTTGCTCACCCTCATGTTGTTCCGATACATGTATGAATTTCTTTCTTCTGTAGAACGCAAAAGTACAATGATTAATACAATGAAACATGTTTCTAATGACATAAGGGTGAATAATAATGTCAGAAATTTGCCATAAAATTCCTAAATATTATTCCAAATGTTTCACAAACTTTTCTTGTCAAGACAGATTCATGCAGTCCAAACAAGGCTTTTTAATCTCATATTCCTCTATGAATGTATTTCAGCGAGATTGCCTGGACAACGCATCGCGGCGACGAGCGCATTATAACTATCCCAAGGGAGGTCCTCAATTCAGACAGAGACACTCAATTTACCACAGCTGAGAAATCTCTCGGTGACCCTCTCACTCAAAGTTCACAATTTCTCACTGCTTGCGCTCTCACCCCCCTCCAAGAGCAGCATATACATTAGGTGGAATCTATGGCTCTGACAGCTTCTCCTGCACAAGGTGAGAAATGGGGACTGTTTCAGTGGCAGGACAACTGGGCAGAATCAGACGTACTTGTAAAAATGTAGGACAAAAACTTTTTTGGGCCGGGACAAAAAAAGAGGGGCTGGAGCGATGGCATAGGGGGGAGCGGGTACAGCTTACTCTCCTCTGTATGGAAGGAGAATACTAATTACAGGCCTTCAGCATGAGACCACATTGTTCCCTCTCTACCCAACAAAGCCCTTTCACGCCCTGTAAAGGGCTACACAATGCCTGCTCTGGGGGCAAGCTTGGGCCCCTCCCCTAAAGCGGGGGGAAGAGGAGGATGTTAGCTACATTGGCTTGTTATTGTTGACCAAAAATGTGTGTTCATCTCTTGACTGAAAAACACAGCGCATGACTGACTGTCAAAAGTCACCATGAACCATGTTCTCACCCTCGTGTTGCCCCTTGTCGCATCTCTTCGCAGGTATACAAATGCTCTCCGTCCAGCCGGACACCAAGCCAAAGGGCTGTGCCGGCTGCAACCGGAAAATCAAGGACCGTTACCTTCTGAAGGCCTTGGACAAGTACTGGCACGAAGACTGCCTCAAGTGCGCCTGCTGCGACTGCCGACTCGGCGAGGTGGGCTCCACGCTGTACACCAAAGCCAACCTCATCCTCTGTCGGAGGGACTACCTACGGTAAGAGGAAAAACTTGTTTGTGTCGTAATACGCACTCTAGACACTACAGATTGCAAGTTAAAAGATGTCACTGAAAACAGCTGAATCTGTACCACATTCAAAAGATAACTCTCTAAGGGCCTTGCGTCAAATCCCAAACAAAGCAAGTGCCACAAAAAGCCATATTGCTGTTAACACTGGCTTTAATGGCTGCCCTTAACGCCCAGAGTTCTCCCATGCTGTTAGATATCCTTTGCTCTTCATAATAGAAAAGGAGCTCAAAGGGGATCTTTATGAGCCTATAAACTGCTGCCATTTCTGTGAGTTTTCAATGGATTCACTTGTTGGATCCAATCAACACACTGAGGCTTGATAGAGGGGCATTGTTTAGCAAGAGACCACCCTGGTTCTTGTTCAATCAGCTTACCTTTGTCCCCTGATGGAAGGGTTTCCTTAGAAACCCAACCTCTCAATTTCTCGCTTTTCTATCTGTGTGCCCAGCATGCATCAGTTTTAAAGCAACAAGTCTGCAAGTATGGATTTTTGGCATACGGACAAATATAGACTCCAATATCTGTCATCTGGTCACCCCTAAGAATATTCTTGTTTTCTCTTAATGAGTAAAAAGGAAAGAGTGCTTAAGCTGCTTTCTTGTAGGATTGCATGATATGGAGAGAAACATGATATGCAATCAACCTTTATTACAATTTAAAGCCAGAAAATAAAGACACATTCTACATGCATGTATCTGGCTCTTCCTGGCATCACTAAAACTTCTCAGCAACCAGCAAAGGATGATATTCTGCAAAAAGCATCCTCCAGAATTAATGACTATCAAATTGAAATCTAAAAAAATAGAGCTTGTTTTTCATGGACTGCCTGAAGAGGTTTGTGGTATTTAACCTTTGATTGGCTAAACGCAATCAACAAATATATAGTTTTTTTTAATTATTATTGTAAATCATATGTAATATCTAATTAAATAGTAATAATAAATAAATATTAATATGCTATATGAAATATAAAAATAATTACCAATATATAATTAAAAAAAAAATGTATCTATTTTTTGTCTTACATTGGCATCACTGCTGCTTGTTTACACTTGTATATGACGTCACTAGTGCACAAACTTAAACACAAGACGATCATATGACTAGGATATTCTCTAAATCTCCATAAACTTTAAGGATGAATGCATTGAAATCAATAGTTAGCATTGTTATGATATTTTCAAAAATTAAATATAATTATATCATAAAATATAATAATTATATCAACTTTTTGTCTAGTGTCTCTACCTAGTAGTTACACAGTCGCGTTAATAAACCCACGTACACATGTGTGCAACGTATGTATATGAAATGATATAAATGCTCAACGGGACTCTCCAGGGAGTCACGGCTTTGCAAGCATGCTAGAAGCTACAGTAGGCAGGAGGCGCTTTGAAATGGCACAGTTAATTTAATTTTGGCATGGGCGATGAGAGAGTCTCCATTAGGCGCGGTACACAAGCAGGCTTTGGGGAAACGCGACTGTAAAGCATCGCCAGAGGGCCAGAGGCAGGCTGAGATTACCATCTCGCAGTATGCCTCATTGACTGTGCCCTGCTAAACTGCATCTTCATTCGCGACGACGCTTACAAATTTGTGCCTCAAACAACAGCGGCGACGAGATAGATGGCACCAGATGTGTCATTAGGAGACGTGTAGATCCGTCTTCGTGGTATGGTGACGGTTTGTACCAGATGCGACTGATAAGGTTCTTGTGCAAGTGTATTTTCTGTTATGTCTCTTTTAAGAATTTTATAACTGCTAGTGAGGGAAGCGAGAGGCCAACTGTGCCCATGTGATTCTTTCATCTTCAAAGTTCAAGGTGACTGAATTGATTCGATTCTAGCCATCACATGAGCAGTCTTCCCGTGCCTCCAGCTCGACGTCTCCTCGCCAGCAGCAAATTAGGGGCGAGCGTGGCACGGTCCCAGTTCCTCAAATCACATCTGCAACACAACAAAAGAAAAACAGCCTCCATTGACAAGCCAATCAATCGGCAATCCTACAAAGCGCTCCGACGCACTCCTCTCGATTGGATCGTTTCCTTATTTATTTTCTTAAGTTAGTGCCGGCGAGATAAGAGATAGACTTAATCCCTTCCTCTTTGTTCTGTGTTCTATTTCGCCCGTTCTTATTCCGAGTAAATTATGCTTGGATTTATTATACAAGATTCCCCATCCCCACATCCGCACAGAATCAATCCAGTCCTGTTTAGCAGTGTGGCATGTTATTAAGGCAGACATAACCAGGGTTAATAGAATTCTTCAGGGGTCTACAACCATGAGCGATGTGATCCCACCAGCTGAGAAATAATAATCCCTATCGCAACACACACAAAAACAAATTAAATAAGGAGAAAAAAAAGATTTATGCCTTCCCAGACCTGTCTCCCTTAGTACGTATTATCAAATATGATGTGGGGTTTTTTGTAGTTGAAGGGAGAGGCAGAAATAGTTTTGGTCTGGGGAAAGGATATCATTCGATTCATATTCAAAGCATCGAGAAGGTAATTATTGATGGAAAGCACGATGCTCGTATTGCTCTCAAAGTATGGGTAAATGGTATTGGCCTGTCACATCAACAAAAAATGATTCTTTTGATACCGTGCAGACATCTCTATTGATGATAAAGGTAATAACCGGCGTGCCAATGTTTATGCCAATGCGGTTACATTTCATAGCGGTGAGCGATAAAGTTAAAAGCAGCAGACAAAAAAGCAACGGACACATTTAAGTTGAGAAACGGGCAAAAATAAACCCTGTCAGAAAGTAGTTACAGACAGGAAAGCCCAGGATGCAAGCAGGGAGAGGGAAGCTGTTAGGCATCAGTTAATGGAAAACTGTAAATTTCAGGCATCCATTTTAAAGACAGCACAGGGTGACCACTTATTTATTTATTTATCTATCTATTCATTCATTTTTTTTTAATCCAACTTCAATTTTCCTCTACAGTGGTTTTACTAAGATTGTAAATGCAAGCAAACTCACAGAGCAGTCAACATGACTGGATTTATTACCGTTATGGAAAGCTGGCTATCGGTGAAAGATAACCAACATGTAAAGCATGGTTTGGTTGTAATAACTTATATTTTTCCCCCCTTTCGGCCCTCATTCAGGAACCACTTTGTGGTACCCATCTAATTTGTGCTGTGTAAACTTTTGGAAATGAACCATAAAAATGTATCTTTCACTTTTTCATACAGTATTTGCATCTGGAATCACGCCGTAGATTGTATGCATTTATGGATGTGCCATATGTTTATCTGTATAGGTCAACAAAATGTGAGTAATCTTTGAAGTCAGGAACTTTGACAAATTGAGCTCAACAGAATTGGTTTTGTGATTCATTTCGGTCGCACACTTACAGATAAAGTTATAATTACCTAGTTGCTTGATGAAATGATGATTTCAGGATGCACATTTTGAATGAAAGGATGGTGTTAAGATAAAGTAGCTGTATTAAAAACTGCAGGTGGCTTACACACTATAAAAGAAAAAATAGCATACTTGGGATGCAATCGCTGCTCTTCGCCACCATGCAAAGTGAAGTTTGCCTACTATCGCCCTTGAAAACATGAGAAGCTACATACTTGGATCTGTGCCACGGAGAAGTCCAAAGAGTCACCACCTAAGAAGACAGAGACAAATTATTAGAAAAATCGCACTATGTGGACTTCAACACAAACTGTGTCCAATCAGCTATTTTTGTTTAATCTATGTTTTGGGTGCTGTGCAGGTGTGCAATGCTCTTTTTTTTACCTCAGCTAACCTAAGCTAACACTCTCCTTGTAATCTGGAAAAGGTCAGAAATGCATAACTTCTTAGTTTGGAAGTTCTCTAGTTCTCCAGTGCTCTAGTTTTCGCCCTCAGCTGATAAGAGCAATTATTCTCAAATATAAATGCATTTCTTGTAAGCTGACGTGACACTAAAGTTACAAAGTTGCTGCCGTGTTGTCAGTTAAAGGTTAGGCTGGTCTCTCCAGCGGGATTAGCACTGTGCAGCCTGGTGTACTTTGTCTTGTGTTTTCCTCAGTCGTTTTGAAGCTAGCTGAAAGATTGAGGCCATCTCTTGTTCTAATGACCAGTGCAGATGTTCACAAACAGTGCAGTGCTCTCTGTCTCTGAAGGGCATTAAGCAGGATTTTGGTTATAGCAAAACACGGAACGCTAAAACAGAGCATTGCTAACATTTCATTTTGTGTCTCTACAGCCAGAATCAGTGTTGGGAAGTAACTATTTTGACAGTAGTTTAGGACTTGACAGAATACTGAAGCTTTTTTAGTAACTTTTTCATAATAAACTATGTAGCCAGGTTAAATGGTACATTGCTAGTTTTTGTAATGCACACAAACTAGCGGCCTGTCTTCTGTCTCATACCAACTTTGATATGAATCAGTTTGTTTCAATGATTTATAGTGCTGGGGGAAAAAATCTGATTTATTTTAGTGAATCAGTTAGTTTGAACAGTTCACGGTTACAACAAAGTTTATTTTTCTTTAAAGAAATATCTAGTTGAAGTCCACTATTTGTCACTATGTTTGACTCATTTGTATAGTTTAGTGTTTTTAGGTGTATTTAGTACACATTTACTTATTCAAGTTTATCCTTAAATGAGATCTGTGTTGTCTTTGTGCCATATAAACAGCACTCTGATCATAAACTCTCAGGTGATTTATTTTTTATATTCAAGTTTAGAATGAGCTACTTTTCAATAGCTACTTTTTCAAAAGGTTAGCTTTAATTTACATTTAGAGGATGTTTGAAAAGCTATGACATGTTTCAAAGTATGATAAATGAATATACTGAAAAGGCTTGTCGTTCTTGAGGTAATGTTAATGTTTATTTAGGCCTACCTAAAAATTGAGATGGCGAAGTAGTGACAACTGCTTGGAATGAGCTAACTACACATTTTAGCATAGTTCAGCAAAGTCTTTTTTTTCCTTCCAGATAATATATTAAATGTTGTTT